TCAAGTTGTACCTGTCTCTGGCTCCGTTTGGGGAGTAGGTTGGTGTTGATTCTGTGCAGTAACAGAGTGCACAGTCTGTGTTTGTGGTTGTAGCTGACACAGCTGCCCCATGCTATCTAAAACCCTGAAATGCATGTGCTTAGAGAGGTGCTGCCATCTCACTGGGGGGCTCTCACAGGGACTGTTTGGTGGCAGCCCAGATGGAACTATCAGGATTTAGAGTAGGTATGTCATAAACATTTGACAGGTGCCACATTTGGAGTCACGTCTATGAGTGAATTTGATTCGCTCAATTGCATTGCTTAGCTAGTATGGTTTGTTACCATTTTTAAGCCTAGCCATATATAACATAAAAGTTACTTTGATACTTGGTGTTTCTATCCACCATTCCACCCTCCACATGTCCTAAAACCTGGCTGCATTTCAAAACATAAAGCACTCTTCTGTTCTGGTGTTTTCAGGATATTTTAGGGCTTATTATGAATACAGAGAAGCAGCAAGAAATATTTTTCTTTCTTTTTTCTTACCTATTAAGTAGATAACACTTTGTAAGATTACCATCACATATTTAAAGTACACAGGCAAAGAGCAAGATCACTAAATTTAAGAGCTAAACAATATCTGTTATGCATCATTATATTTAATGATTGATTGTATTTAATCCTACAAAGTAGTAAAGTGAAACTCCTGGTTATGTTACTAGAAGCTGTTTTGCTTAACTTCTGGTATTGTGCAAATCTTAAGGAGCATCCCAGCACAAACCATTCTGTGATTCTTTTCTGGAGATGCTACTTAATTATTCAAAAGAGCACCAGGCCTTTGYCACATCTTTTCAGCTGGTAACAAGGAGAGGACTGGTTCTACAGAGAAGCAATGCAGTTAGTAAGGGAGAAGGGACCAAAGTTTGGAAAAAAATGTCTCAAAGGTTAATGACATCAATGGAGCAGTTTTGAACTTAACGACTAAAATAAAGAGAGCATAACATCGAGTAATTAGAAGATARCTCCTGAACAGGATACATGAGTAATCAGCACCAAAAAAAAAAGTCMTTTCGCAAATGAKTGTGGTCATGTACCTAGTGCTGGGATATTTGTACTGATAACTCAGRATCTGACTGCAGTGAAACAGCTTTCCAGGGGTAGGAACCTCCTGCCTCTCAGTGCTGTCCCAGGCAAACCACCCTGTCTGCTCTGCTCTCTTCCAGCAAGACCTTTGTGTTACTCCTTGTTTAAATATTTCTATCCACTTGTAGCCCTGAGTTGTGTAGTTTTAGTCCTGTATGCCRACTGCACACAGATCAATAGCTGAAAACAGCTTGATTATGCTTTCTGCTGCTTCTTCAGAGAGATCTTGTACACCCATCCAATACACCACAGTAGACCTGTTTGTATTTCGGTGTCATTATGGGTTCTGCTCYCTATATATTCTTCTATGGACAGCAAATAATACATGGGTGTAGGAAGCAAGGGGAGGAGATACGTGGAGGGATAGTTTGATGTACAGTACACTCAGTTCATGCTGAGATCAATACTCTAATTTTCTTCATTTGGAAACTGAAGGCTCTATTTTTAACATAGAGTACAAAACTCTGGAAACCTGCCAGAGGAGGCAGCATGCTTCCAATTAAGAGTAGGCCAGGCCACCCACAAAGTCCTACTTTCWCTAACTTCCACACTGATATTTGGCCCTCCCTAAGTAGCAGATTTGCCATAAACTACTATTTTTCATATTCCAAAGACTGACAAACTGAAATCTATAACTGACCTGTGGTAAGCTGTACCTTAAGGAAATGGCAGGTAAAGTCCAGTCCTCCACACACAAAGCTGGTGAATAATTGAGTAAATTGGACTCAGCCTCAGTGTGTTCTTAAATGCAACTGAAATGAATAAATTTTGGAATTTATCTGGAGTCTGCATTCATTTTTATGTATCTTTTAAGAAACAAWTATGCCTGACTATTTTCTCTACTCAGCCAAAGGCGGTGTCCTGGTTCCCCTTAATTTCCAGGCTGAGAGCCACCTACTGCACAACAGGGTCACCATTTTRTCTACAGGACTCTTTGGCTKAAGCACAGAATGGAGCTCAGAATCTCCCTCTGATCTTTGCAAAGGCAAAAAGGTTCTGGTTGATTTCCATGTAGAGAGTTTCACTGAAATTATCCCATAGGTGAAAATTGGCAATGTGGAATATCTTACATTTGCTGTGTCTGTACTACCATTGTTGTGAAAAGCTGGCTACAGGACCATGATCCTTCAGAAATTGCTCTGGTACTGGTGAAAACAGATTTTTTTCAAAGGGTGGATGACATTATTACAGCAATAATAATTGCTTTGAGCAGCCATGAGCATATTTTAATACAGTCTGCCACACGGTGCAGCGTTGTTAATCTCTCTCAGAAGAGATGACACATTGCCTTTGGTAAACTACAGGAATGGGCATGACTGAGATGAGATGACAAATATGAGACCCTGCTTTCCTCCCTTYCCCACTGGCACCTCTGCTCCATTCACATCAGCGGGAGCTCTGTGCAGAGATCAGGGGGGAGATTCTGAGCTCCATTCTGTGCTTAAGCCAARGAGTTCTGCAGGCAAATGGTGCAGAATCCTGTCATGCAGTAGGTGGCTCTCAGTATGGAAATTAATTAATGTACCAAGACACCCTCTATGGCTGAGTAGAGGAAATATGGAAATTAAGGGTACCAAGACACCCTCTATAGCTGAGTAGAGGAAATAGTCAGGCATATTTGCTTCTTAAAAGATATATAAAAATAAACGCAGACTCCAGATAAATTCCGAAATTTGTAGTCAGAAATATTCCTGCGCGGTCAACAGTTTTATACATTGATAAGAAAAGACCTGAAAATTCAGTTGTCTTTTTGACATCCTGGGGAATTAAATCCATGACAGTTTTCACAAATTTCTATGAACTTTARGAGCATTTTGGTTCCCTTCAGAAAGGAGATGTTCCATCAGGCACATCAGAAATTGAGTTCTCCTCACAGTGGCCTTGGGAAGGACCATCTCCATTGTAGACTTTAGCAGAGGAGCATCATCCACAGTCAGATTTCCACTGTAAGCAAGTTGAACTGCAAGRATTTCTTGAATGATCTGTGGGACACATCATGGGCTTGGCCCAAAGTTAACCCAAGTTTTGCTTTTCCCTGGCAGGGGAATAGGTTTATATCTCTGGAAATGTTTAAAGGAACAATGAAGTTGTCACTCATAAATTCTGTATTRAAACCCAGTGCTTGCAGTTCATTTTTTTGAGGYATCACATTATAGATATCATATTTYTAACTGTTTCCTGCATTTGCCTCCYCTGCAGCTAGGAGAATAATGAATTTGCTGTGTTATTCAGGAGCTGAATGCTCTGCCACAGCAGCAGCTTTCCACTTGGCTCCAGAGGAGCTGCTTAAGGTCTTCAATTGCAGTTGTCCTTGACTTTGTATCCACTTTTGATGATGATTAACTTTATTATTTAGAATGATTAACAGGTGATATTAATTGGACAAATATTAGGTTGGTTCTCTCTAAAACTGTAAATTTGTTTTCTCATATTTGGCAATAAAAATTAATCTGGTCATTTCCAAAAGAACAGCTGACAAAGAAGACATAATGTATTGGAATAGAACTTCTAATGACTAGAAACTGTCAGATATCATTGAAGGAAAGTCCCTCTTACATCAGTGACAGATGAGCGCCCTGTAGATGTATTTGTTTTCACTAATGGCTATTTATAAAGCTAAAGTTCTCTTCCAATCTTGAAAAGAATGTACAGAAAAACTGAAAGCTAACAAAAAAAATCAGTTTAAAATAAAAATTTAAACTAAGTAAGCTAACTAAATAAAATTTAATTTTCATATTTTTAAATATTTAAATAGAATGTACAAAATTGACAATAATATTAATTTATATTAAAGTTCTATTTAATTTTACTCGAGTCCTGGTTTTAAACTTTTTACATTTTCTTTTAAATGTGTTTCGTATGAAGCAACAATTTAAAAACTTCTGTATGTTTTGATGACTATTACAACTGCAGGTTTTATATGGTTTATACTTTCATAACAAACCKCTATAAAGAAAATCTCTTGATATTTTTAGAACCAAACACTATCTTATTAAATTCCCTGCTGTTGAAAACTTGTCTTTTATGCTCTTGCCAGAGCATTTTGATGGAGGTATATGGAACTAATGCAGTGTGGACACTTGGTTTTCTGACTGCCATTCCACTGAGCTTTGCATTTTAATAACATAGACTTGCCCTGCAAAAACTGAAATATCAAAGTTTTTTTTTAATATAAATATGCACTTTTAAAAACTATAAATTAGCATTGATTTATTCTTACTCTAGCTATACTCCAGTCTTATCATCAGAATTCCTGCCTGTTTATTATATGTGACTGTAGATAAAACAAAATTTGAAAATTGCTTCTGAAGCCCCTAAATTTGAATAACTTCATCACTGGAGATTAAAAAAYACCATCATTTGCATTAATGAGAATGGGAAATGTCTACATGGAAGTGATGGGAAACAGAGTTGCTATTACAATACAGGCAAGCAGGGGTATTGCTAACTGRCCATGTATAATTGCCTATTTTAGGAGTCCATCACTGAGTATGTATCTGGCTTAGATGTGTTGTTGTGAAAAGGCATCCAAAAGACACTGATAATTCAAACTTTTCATGGAATCACATCATGGTTCTTTGTCTCCTTTAGAAGAATTTGTCTCCTTAAGAAGAATTCCATTGTCCATTTCTGCTGCAGATGGGTTCAGTGCCTGGGAACTGAAACAGGAGGYGATGGCTGCCCCCCTGAACTGACACTGGTCTCATTCTGCCCCCAGAGTCTGCACACTCAGTTCATCCCCATGACCTGTTCAGTGCATATTTTATTTGACATGATAATTTTATTATCACTATATTTAAAAAAAAAAAAAGATCATTTTAAAGATAAATTTTGACAGCATGCTGTGTAATAGAACTGCTTTATTTGTGTCTCCAGGATGTTGACCTGAAAGCATGTCAGGAAGCTTTGGATGATTGCTGTCCACATCGAGGAGATGATCAGCTGGAACTGCAAGAGGAGGAGGAGAAAGACATTAATCAAGTAAGTGATGGGAAGAAGGGGAAACTGAAGAGGAAGTGAGGGAGGATATAGGACATATCACTAAAATAAATAGTAGTGAAAAGAAATGCAGTGAWAWGTTTTGAAAGGAATAATTTATTTCCTCTTTTTATTTGAAGTGTCCCTTGCCAGGGAAGGAAAGGAATGATCACTTCAGACAATACTTCGTGAATGACGCCCTTGTACACATTTTTGAAAACTGCCTCCTCCCCTCAATTCCCCACTATTGTTTGTGTAGTTGAAATACTCTAAAGTCGACAGAAAACAGTTGYAACTAACCATTTCTCAATTTGAATGTATTTTTTCCATTGTGAAGGGGTTGTGCTTGTGGGAAAGGATTTTTTTTGCTTACAAACACTACCAACATGGATGCTAAATTATACTGCTCTCACCTTTTATGTAAAGCTCGATGCTCAGATGTAGAATTACATTTGGGACGTGGGACTGTTCAGTATTTTTCTCTCTGAGATCTACAATGAAAAGGGCACTCCGTTTTCTTCAGACCTTGTGGGAGCTGAGAACATCTGATCCAGGTGTCTTGCCAGCCTCTCTATTTGCCGCTTCCCTGAGAGCTTGGCTTTGGAAAAATACTTGGTTTTTTCCGCACTGGTGGGAGGTATGGCTTCAGAGGAAAGCCCAGTTCTGCTATTGTGGGCAGCRTAGGGATTTTCAGGCCATGGAGCTSTTCTGCTCCTTTTAGCAACATGTCATCTCCCATCAGGATGAAGATTTGTTGGTGGGCTCAGCAGCAGTATTGCACTGTGCTCTGTTTCCCCTCAGACTTTGATTTTTACCTCCTTTTATGTAAAATAACTGTGCTTTTTAACACGTTTCTCTTTCTTTTGTCACAGAGCAACTGCAACCATGTAGATTCCCTTCTCTCCTTAGAGGGTTATTTACAGCTTCTGTCATCACAGGTGGAAAACATGCTAGAGGTAAATGAGAAAATACAGGTATTGCCAGTAGATTGGAATACAGTCAGCAATTACTAGATAATGAYTTACTCTGTTTTATCAAATAGCTCAGCCTACCGCACCCACTCRGGAGCATATTAGTGAATAAATGTAGTAAAACTTACCTAAAGATGCTACTATCCACCTTTTACAGCATCTCTCTTGGCTCTACCTGAAAAATTTCTCCAGCAATCTGTCTGCTTTTTCTGTGCTTTCACTGTGTTTTTACTGTGATCTGGTGTACAGTTGGATGGAGCCACTGGACAACTTAATTAGTTCAACTAATAGTTGCCTTTCTGAAACGTAATGCCAACTTTTATTTATGCAGCAGTCTTGGTGTGTCTCTCTAGAGAAACACTGAGTTATTATACAGTAGCAGCTATTGGGCATTTGTGGTGAATTATTACAGTTGTCATAAGTATTGGATCAAGTGCTCAGAAGATTACTACCCTTAAGAACAGATCCATCTTCACTGCAAATCGGGTCAGTCAGCATTAGCAGTAAACCCTTTTTTTGTTGTTGTTTTTTTTGGCTTTTTTTTTTTAATCTTATGGCCCTCTGATACTATATTTTACTTTCTGTGTGCCTGTCTTCCCAAAAACAGTTGTTATCTTAATTGAAGTCTCCCTCTTCTCCCACAGTTCATAGCTGCAACTGTTGATGATGAAGCTACTCCCTACATTCCTTTTTTGCAATACTTCAAGGGCATCTCACTCCCCATCATAGGATACTCTTCCAGGGTCGTTAGTGTTTTCCATTTAACTTTATGTTTATCTAGTTTTAGGAATCCCTAGGTTGGATAGTACCTTCTAGACCATAAATTACCCTCCTCTTTGTTCAGCTCTGGAATTGGATTGCACACTTACAAAATGTAGAATTTCATCAGTTCTCTCCATTCTTCTCATAATTTGAAAGGAATTTGGCTGTAGTCTTTATGCAGCTATAACAATACACAGTTGCATATTTTATTTAACTTTTATTAATGCACTGCCATCTTGTGATAATCGATCTGTTGAATATAGATTGTTTCTTCCAAGTATCATGTATTTACAGTGAATGGGATTTTTTAATAGCTGACTTGCTAAGAATCATTCTTTTCAAGGGATTGGTTGAAAATATGATTTCTGTCTCACAGACTGCAGGTGGTCTAGTACAAGGTAACTCCCTAGGAGAAATAAGGCAAGACCTTCTGTTACCTGAGCTCCCATGAAGCAGAATAGAGAATTTAAGATGTTTGGTCCTTACAGTACATCATTCCTTCCCTGAATGGCAATCAGAAAGTCCTTTCCTGAAACACAGTAAGGACACTCAACTATGGAGGAATCCCAAACACTTCCTACTTGATGTATTCCAAGTAYTTTGTATCCATCTATTTTATGACTGCTCTGCCTGTCAGCAAGTGCCTGACACAACCTTGGACAGTGGCTTTGTGCTTCTAAGACCCAGCCACTATAACTCAGGTCCACAAAAGGTGGGCCCTAGTGCTACCGCAGCATTACCAGTCCAGTTTATTATTTGGATATCAGGGCCAAGGGATCATGTATCAGCTTTGGTGTTGAAAAAATATCCTGACTAGTAATCTAAAGTCAAAACATCTACCAAAGATGTGATTTGGTGGGGGCAATGTTTCCTTCAAACTGATTAGTAAAGGAGTTTATCTGAGTTTTGGATGCAACAGACCTCAGTTAAATGGAACAAAGCCACATGTGGCACCTCACAGACCCAAAAAGTTCGTAACTGTGGAATAAGTAGTGYGACTATGACAGCACAGTTTCAATGCTTTTGTCTCCCACCCCTCTTTTCTCACCACTGTCATCATTGGTTAACTTCTGCAGATGAACTATTTATCTTTAAAAAGTTCATTTTCTAACAGTTTAGCACCTTGAACCAGCTCACCCTTGAATCATCAATACCACTATCAGGGAAGGATCATGATGATTGGTCCCAGGAGGACCTTTTTCTTAGACCAGATCAGACATAATACATAGGCTATATTCTGTACACTTGGCAGCAGTCCCATTTCTACCTCTCAACACTCATCAGTCCCACACTGTCCTTTGCAAGTCCTTCTCCCATTCCTTCATCACTTTTCTTCTGCACCCTTCTTCCTGCTTCCTTTTGCCATATGCCAGTACAGATGATGCTTTGTACAGATGGGAAACAGTATTCCAAATGGCTAGAAGGAGAGTTTAACATACAAAAATTTGGCTTTAATAGAATCAAATAGTGGAATGGGAAAAAACAAATCGATCATGACTTTGTGGGTGAGGGATGTAGAAGCATTCACTTTATGAAAGATCCCATTTTTCCCCCTTAATCTTTTAGGTGAACTTACTGGAAGATATASAACTTGCTACTTCTAATAGAGGTCAAGACCCATCATCCTCACACCACAATATAAATTTGACCCAGACACTTCCAAACAGTTTCAGTCCTCCTGATGCCATGCTACTAAGAACAGATTACCCCACTCAATTAAATTCAAAGCCAAGACACTTACAAAGGCAAGAGTTTTTTCCTCAATCAAGCYCTGATATCACAAATCCAGAATCACTATGTCATGGGTCATATTTGACAGGGCTGCTTTCAGCTGCTGACCTTAGAAGTCTAACAGTCCATGATGATAATTTTGATGAAATTAAACTCATGTCTTTGGCTTTTGAGGAAGGCTTTAGTCCTGTAGAAGTTTCTCAGGTCTTTGAAGAGCCTGGCTCAGATTCGGGACTATCTTTGAATTCAAGTCACAGCACCACCTCTTACTCAGTCTGCTGTGAAGATGCTCTTGGGTACAGCAGTGGTGTTAAATCTGTTCCCTCACACGGCTTAGGAGCTGCTGGTGGCCACTGCCAAGAAAACGCTCAACAGAGCCATGTGGAATATCCAGGTGATGCAGAGTGTTCTACAGAAGCCATGCTTCAGCAGTTTCTTCATAATCACACTTACATTCAGCTGCCAAGTCAAGCAGCATCCACTCCAGAGCATCATCAACAGACGTGGATGAAGAAATCAAACGAATTAAAGGACAGGTGCCRTAATTCTACTGCTACAAACCAGAGCAGAGATGAATATTGGGCAAAGGCTCTGAGAATACCATTTTCAGTTGATGAAATTGTGAGCATGTCTGTCGACTCTTTCAAYACCGTGCTAGCAAAGAACCAGCTGACAGAAACTCAGGTATCACTTCTACGTGACATCAGACGAAGAGGAAAAAACAAGGTAGCAGCTCAAAAATGTCGTAAACGCAAATTAAATGCAATTCTCAACTTGGAAGAAGATGTGTGTAATCTCCAAACACAAAAAGAGAGTCTTAAAAAGGAGCACTCCCAGTGTAGCAAATCAATCAACCAGATAAAGCAAAAACTAAACAGCTTGTACCGTGACATTTTCAGTAGGGTGAGGGATGACCAGGGTAGACCTGTTAACCCACACCAGTATGTCATTCATTGCAGCAGCAACGGTAGTGTTTTCATAATACCCAAGCACTTGGCCAAATCTGAACAGAAACAAGATAACAGAATAGAGCAGAAACAGAAATGAAATGGCCGAAGTTCACTTAAATCACCTTCATTTTACCTGAAAGGATGGTAAGAATACTTGCGTGAAGACTAAAGGTCAGTGATTACAGCAGCTCAAACAGAAACAACTACACTTGAGGAGAAATACTGTGTTCAAGGATCTGCCAAACCCAGCCAACTGTGATCTGTTGGAAAGTCTGTGAGCTGAGGCTTCTGAAAGAGGAAATCTGTTTAGTTTTAGTTAGAATTAAAGGACCTAGACCATCTGTGTAGTGTAGCTTTATAGACCTATGTTAATACTGRTAATGGAGGCAGAGGAGCAAATGTCTGCGAAGGATAAAAGCCAACTTTAGATCAATGTTACACATGCAAGATTTTAGTCTCAAGTACTTGACTTCATACAGAAATTGACCTTATTTTATTCTTTAGCACTGAAATAAAAATGGTAGTTCTAGTGCATCTTCAATGTAAATTCACTGCAGATTTACAGTCTCAAGAGATAACTGCGTGCTTTACATTTATTCAGAAACAGCTTTGCTTTTTCTAGTTTTCCTTTGAGGAGAGCAGCCCAGRAGGCTACTGCCTTTTTCCTCACTACTTTCAGCATCATAACACCAAGCAAAGATAATCTACCACTTAATTTTACAACTCGGTCAATCTGCAAATTGATTCTGAAAARCTAGTGTCTGATTCAATAGTCTTACCTTCATCCTCTGCAACTGAATCATATTCAACTTTTTTCCACAAAAAAGACCAATGGTGAATGAGTTCCTGTTCTGTTTCCTAGTGACTGATATTTACTTGTGTACCTTCCCTTTCCCTCCCATTTTGATACCTTCCTCAAGAAGTACTAGAGTTTTTCTCTTTTGCTTTTTTAAACTAGTATTTTTAAGTGTCCAGATTTAATTTTTTTTAAATATATATTTTACCTAATCTTTAAAGTAAATTAAATTGAACCACATTCCTAGTTGTACTTGTGATTATGAGGTTACACTCTGATAGTGCTGCAAATAAAGAAGTTTTGGGTTTAACATTTATTTGTGCTATTAAAAAGAAGAAATTTTATTCACTCACTTATTCACAGCATCYTATCCTTTACTGTTCTACAGCCTGAAAAAGGTCTGCAAAGGAGAAGACCTAAAAGGCCTGTAAGGAATAAGGAAGGAATGTTCAGGTGTAACACAAATAACTATCATTAACATCTAGCTAGCAACAAATACTTTTTATTCATTTTATAACTAAACTGGGTAAAACTSGTATTTTAAAAGTTTTCATTGGTGGTCATGGCATGATGACAATGGAGCCAATTTACATTCAGGTATGTTAAAACATCACTTGTACCAAACACATTAAGAGCTACACATACAAGCAATAAAAGTTTAAATGCTGACTTGTACCTACTGAAGAAACAAACTGCCACTAGCATGTAAATCACACTGATTGCTTGCACTTATCTGTAACCCAACTGATAGTTACCAAGTGGTATTTTCTAAAAAGGGAGCACTAAGACCATGCCAAGTGCACTGAATTCTCAGTAATGGAATSAGCCTGTTTGAACCATTTGCTCAGCATTTTCTATTAAAAGATTACTTTAAATAAATGTGTGCATCTGTTCTTTACTGGCTGCACTGCAGCCTCAGATTGATCAGTGTAAATTCATAGCAGAAAGTCTCACTACTGAAGCCATGAAATGTCTTGCTGTTGGTTAAGCATCAGTGTGAGACACATCTAATGTGTATTCACATGGGATTGTCTACTAGCTAGATCACAGCTTCAGCCAAAACATGCAATAGATGTCAGATAGGTATGAATTGTGAACTTTACTTCTACTTGCAAAATAGGTACACATTCAAGTCAGCCTGACTATAATCTCTTAATTAAATGGCATAATAAATACTTTAAAGTTCATGCATTTACCCTTTGCAGAACCAGCTACTTCACTGACCATGTATGTACATTCTGATAGATAAGATTAGGCTGGTAACTGAGAAATCCAGAAAGCCGAGTATTTTTTGCTTTAGGGCCTCACACTGGGGGGGGGGAAGGGAAGGAAAAAAAGCCTAAATCTTTTGATGGCCCCTCCTTCAGTAGCAGTGCAAGTGAGCTCTGTGGATTTTTGTAAAGGCAGCTGCTAATGCAATATAGCATACACCMAGTTGAGAAACAGATACATGGTTAAATTTTAGCACATACCAAAAATACGCATGCTGTAACCCTKTCAGAACACAATCCTGATGGAAAGCATTTCCCAGAACCCAACAAACAACTCTACCCTTAGAAAACCTCTTAGGTGAAATACCAGTTTTGGGTGGACTGCAACAGTACTGATGATAGTGAGAATTAGGTCTGGATATAAGCTTTTTCAAACCATCAGCTACCTGCCCATAGGACAAAACTGAGACCAATGTCCTCTTAGTTGGAGCAGACATTGAATTTCACCTAAAAACTGTCTTTCATTGCTGCAACCAGCCTGTACTTAAAAATACCAAACACACCCAACAAAAATCCCCCAACACTGACTGATCCTGGCTATGCCTTATAGTTTYACATTCCTCAGTGATGCGTGCAGTTCAGCTAGACAGCCTGCAGCTTTTTAATGTACTTCATGTACTGGCCTTACTCCATAGTTTCAACTTCTGTACAAAAATTGAGACAGGGTACATTTGAGCTTTTCAGGTGAAACAAATTTGTAACTGAAAGGGCTGTAAAATGTGGRTTAACACCTGACTGAAGTCTATCTTGAATCATTATTCACAGATCACAATTTTAACAAAATCAAAATCCCCTGTGTACAAATCAGAAACTTCTATAGAAAGATACTGTGCAGTATCATACTCTGGAGCCAGACGAAACAAAGCCATTATGGCTGCATCCTACCTTACTACTGCAACATTGAAGCACAAGTCTCTGAAGTTAGAATGAAAACACTTTTTTTTAACCACAAAGCTGATGATTGTAAACACAGCCGTTAAGAACAGCACCAAAAAAAAACAAAAAACAAAAAACCAAACCTAAAGCAGGAGCATTCATTAAAGTACTGTTCCCATGGCAAAGGTATTAAGTAGTCGGTAACACTACATGGTAAACTGCATTTTTTATGATAGTAAGGTTAAGATTATCTGCAAGATGTTAGGAAAGGTCAGATCAAGTGTAAAGAACAGCAAGTGGTGGGGACATGAACACGCACACATACTATATTCCCCTTACTGATGGACACTTCACACTATGGAGCATTACCTGCTGGCTGCTCATGGGTCCACACCTGTTCTGAACAAACATCCAATGGAAACAGATACAAGCCGAGCACTTTATTAGACTGCAATACCCCTGTCGTGTTTTWGACATGTAAGGCTTTACATTCCCGTAGAGGCATCCTGCAAGTAACCACCCTCCCAGGTCASACAGAGCACACTGCTGAAACACTACACTTTGAATGACCACCACAGCACTGCACTGGAGTGCAGCATTCATGTTTTAGGTTTTATTCAATAGATTTGGCTTTTTACAATGCCAGACTTTATAAGCTAAGGCTGTTCCTGCTCAAGAGCTTACAATCTAGTTTTAGATGGGGAAGAACAAATTTTGATGAGGAAATAGGAAGACAAAGCAACTTGAGTTGACTGACTTGAAATCTTTGTCCCAAAACACATACACACAGCATTTATTCATTCTCCAAGAGTCAGAAGTATTTCTAACAAGAATCTTGGAACAGAGATGGCAGAGGCTTATAAATGAGGCAACAGGACACAACAACAGGGTGTAATGAAAAATTATTTATTAAGTAAACCGCATAGAGATGGCAGATGTAACCGTGTGAAGTTTTGTTAGTGTAGTGTACTTCATAAAGTGCTGCAATTTGACATCTGCTGCGCAGTTACTAGAACTCCATGTAGTCCATCCACCAGCCACCCATTCTCCTACAAGAATGCCCCAAAACTGACCAAGAAGCGCGAAGACTGCTAATAACTGCAAATTTTCTACGACTTTCCCCGTCACCCTTTCTGATATAGTGAAGTGGTATGGGAGGTCACATAAGCTAGTTTGTAACYACAAGGTCCCCAAACACTGTTGACCTACTATGTTCATAGCAGTGACCGCAAATCACACAGCTATTCATACACTGTTAATTTTACTGCCGATAAACCAGTTCTTGTTCCATTAACTGGAGTAACTCCTGACAACACTGAAATTTCTGTGCAACATAAACCAACAGTAGCTGCAAAACGAGAACACGAYTGTTAGAAGGGACAGTACTTCTGGCAAAATACATCATTATTACCCAGGCAAACCGTTCCATTTAACACTCCTATGCACCCCTAGACACCATTCAATGTATGGCTGAATAAACATGAAGAGAAACAGCCATCTCCCTTAGGTGGGAAAGAATAACAGCACTACTCTGGGGTTTCACTTGCATCACATGCTCTGCTTCAAAACCAAAATGAAACATTAAACCTACAGGGAATGTACAGTCCCAGCATGTTCCTCTACCACAGATGAGGTCAAGCTGCCAAGACAAACTCAGCTGACAACTGCTTGAAAATTCACATCCATTTCTAGGGCTTGTACATTCTTCCCCAGAAATGAAACTACTTCATCACCAAGATAACATATATATTCATAGTAACACTGAAAGAATGCAATTCTTCTTTCCCACACATCAGAGTCCAAGTCCTGTTGATTTTACTGCATTAAAAGCCATTGTTCACATTTTCCTAAGTGCTTTTCAGCACTTGCAGCAGAACAACTGAAATTCAATGTTCATTGTAAATAAAGTGTGAGTGGTCAGAATCCTACTACTAACCTCTTTTCACCATCACTTYATAAATACAAGTCATACACTAATTTTGGTGTTCTTTGGCTCACAAAACAGTTATCAACAAGTTGTTGTTTTTCTTTTTCCCTCAGTTTGCAGCACAAAGTGTTTGCTGGGGGCCTAGTACTGAGAACCTGATCCTCAGCATTTAGTACCTGAAAACACTGTAATGTTATGCTTACTTTGAAAAAGTCTTGTCGTGACAAGACCCAATCTGACAGAAATCAAGAGTACATTGTCTACRAACTGATAACCAGTAATTGACCACACAATGCTATTTTTATTTGAAGTTGCTAACTTCCAGTATGAGGTTGACTGAAAAATGTGACTTCTCTCACCAAACTAATTGGTGAACATTGTGACTGTCACTTGCCTTAAGAACATACCAAGAGAAAAGTCGTGAGTAAGTTCATAGGTAGGACATCAGGAAACTTAACTACACCGTAGTGTCAAGACTTCAAATACCCAGTAACTTCATTCTTGCACAATGCTGTATCCCTACACMCTCCCTTCCCCCACTGCCAACAGATCAAAATGAGAACACCCTCATCATGGAAAATATTCTTAATTCAAGTAAATTTTAAGCCTTACTGCAAAACTACTGAAAGAGTATCTCAAACAGAAAAGTAATTACTGCCCTTTGAAATTATTTTGATGTTTTAAAATGGCGTAAGAATGTGGACTTGGCAACTGTAAAGAAAAAACTTCCATCAACGACATCTAAGTCACAGGAAAGAAGGCAAATTCCTTATGATCTGGTCATTCTGTTGGAAAGAAGAAAGTAAAGCAGATTTGTGCATCTTCATTTTCTGCTTCCGTTGCAGCCCACCAGTTACCTATACAAATATTGCAAAGTTCAACTTAAGAAACAGAAAAAAAAAATTGTATGTGAATCCTTAAACAGTATTATAAAGGTTAGACACAATGATTCTGCCAAAACATATAAATTTCAAGTTTCGAATAAACCATGTATGAAGTGGTTAAAACAGTATAACCTCAAGATACCATTCCTTAAATASACTCCCAGCTGAAGTTCTCCCAAACACTTGGTGTTTGATAGTGTTTTCGTTTGCAAATTTTTGTTTTGGTATTTTTTTCCGTCCCCAGATGGAGCTATCAATAATACAGTTTTGTACAGCAGGAACTCTACATTCCAGTCAGTCTTCGCACGAAAACCTCTTTACAGGTGAAAAAGTAAAAGTTCTTGTCCTATCACAATCTGACAAACTGACTTAGGTCATTAGTTCCATTAACAGGAAAGAAGTAATATAAAACACAGCCAAAAAAAGGTATTTTTAAGCACCTGTGTCCAACAGTAAAGACATCAGCACTTTAAATTTGAAGCACTGTTTCTCCCAACAGAGAACAGATGCCTATGGTCAGAGAAACAAGTTCTGTGAACACACTTGTCAAACTGATTTTGTTTTAAATTCACCTCAAAATGGAATGTTTCAAATCATGAAAAGGGTCTAAACATAAACATTATTTAATGTTAGATACACACTAAGTTTTTATTAAGCATTACACTAGAACTACTTTGGTATAAAAATACTTTATTTTAAAGCTATGAAAGTTATAAATATATGTAGTTAAATTTTCTACTCACAGAATGTTTGCTATTTTAACATTAGTGATTTGTTTCTCCTAACGAATCTGAATTTATTCGAAAGGCTTACAAGACATTACTATAATTTAAAAACCCATCATTACAGGGAGCTGTACTAATTGTGATCTTTTATCAGTATTCATTTAACCTCTAGATTTTTAATGAAGGCAGCAAAAACAACTATTTTCTGATGATACAGAATTTCTTATTTCTTGAAGCGTTTCTGTGGTTGACCACTTCTTCATTAGTTACCTGCAGCATGGCACCTTCCTGCCAAAGAAAAAAAAAGTGTATCTGAAGATGTTTATCACATATGTCTAAACCAAATTACCAATAGGGGAACTTCAGCCATTTTTTTAAAAAAAAAAGTATAAGCAGTTCACTGGTGTGTCTAACACAAAAGGAACAGGACTTTTTTTAGCTGAGTCCACGTTCTTCAATGGGTAGCCTTTTAAAGGCAATGAACTTTGAAATTAGGGCATTTTTGGTTGCCTTTTTTTGGTAGGTTTTGTTGATTTTTATTAAAAAACCAATCTAGTAGAGTATGCCATCCTTACTCTGAGTAACTCATTCAGTACTTGATGAATTTCCATTAATTTGAGGTGCAAACATTCAATGCAGTGAGAGTAAGGCTGACTAAAATTTGGCACTAAGGTTTGTTAGCTGCAAGAACTATAAAAAATGGTGGAAACCTCAACATTCTAGCCAAATTCCAATTTACATAAATACATGGTACACTTATGAAATACCACCTGTAGTTTCATTTGAAGTTTTCACTTCCCCTCCTAAAGAACTGCTTATGCAGTTGTTAAAAGAAAGGACGACACATTCCTTCACAGAGGCAGATGTATTCTGTGGTGCAATTTTTCCTTACAGGTAAACAGTCTACAGTTACTTGGGAACCTTCAGGATGAAACGTGTTATATAAAATAGATTACAGCAGACAAGACACATAACAACATAGTTCATTTTCAACAGCACAGAACTAACCTCATTGCATTACCTTGCAACCACCATAATGCATAGACTCCCAAGAAAAAAGAAAATGTTGCAGGATGCAAAAATAAAGTTGTATGATTTAATTAACTTGTGACCTACCATTTTAACTACCAACACCAGGGATGGAACCCTTGCAAAGCTTTACTAATGGACACTTGCAGGTCTCATTTGTTCAACTGTAGCAGTGTACAGTGGCAGCAGTCTATGCTTGTCCAGGGTTCATATCATAGCTAGATTCCAGTAGGAAAAAAATATGTTAAGTAGCTGAAATTAACAATTTATTTTTGTAAAAAAATTTAATACAAGAAAACAGGATTCACAAATTTCTTTTCAATTTGTAATTGTTAATTCAATGCTATGTTAAACTACATAACAATAATCACTATACTCAAATACTGTCATACATTATTAGTTTCTTGGTTTTGAAACATTAAGAAAGTAAAAGTAAATAAGATCTTACCTAAAGAAGTTTAACTGAAGCTTAGAACTATTTTGCTCTACACCCTCAGCCTTCGATGCCATCCTTATAAACAATCTACCGTAGTTAAAGCTTTGCAGAAATACAGCACAGCTTTTTAAGACTGGCTGAACTTTTAGTGACGTTTTCAAGAGTTCTCTTGTACTAGACCTGCGTCCCTGGAAGAGTACCTTGCTGGGGGTATTTCCTTTCCTTGCCATTGAAGAAGCAGCATCTAAAAAATCTAAAAAGGTGTTTCTCCTTGCAGAGATACCCCTTAAGTTACCTAGATATTTTACACCTGGTAATTTACAGACAACATACTTTTTCTCACCAGCATTTAATTTTACACGTACAACAATAGCTTTGTATTATTTGTGGGACCTTATACTACCCACTCCTTGCCTTATTTTACAGTATTAAAAAAAAAACCTTAAATTACACAATATTTCCTTTAGAATTATTTTATTAAAATCATAAATGTACAACAGCTTCTTAACTCTACACACGCACTTAAATTTTTAAAAGGAAAACGTTATGTCTTATTACACCATGATCCTGGCTAAAAGCTTTTCAAAACTTTGAGAAAAATCTTAAAAAAGGTTTCACATGTCACCTGAAACTTACAAATTTAACATTATCAAAGGAATGCTTCTACACTTACAAAGACCACTAGAAAGAAACAACAATTAAAAAGCTAAGAAACTGTCTCAAAGGCATTTTTACAATCCTTCCTCCACAGTAAGGTAATGTTATTAAATAATCCAAATCCATTCACAAAATGGCTCTCTGCATCTGCTCTGGTGTCTTCTGCCATATCACTGCATATTTATGCATGACTGAGATAAGTGTTTCCTTAACATTGTTATTTCGATAACCTGAAGCTGTTCTGTTACCTCTGGGCTCTCATCCTCTCCTATTTATACAGTGAAGCCTGTTTCAACAGAAGTAAAGAGTAAAAAAATAGGTTATGAAATTATTCATCTAACCATTTTTTAAAGGAAAGATAATATCCTAAAAAGCTTTTAGCTCCTGCAGCTACTCTCAAGAATCACTGCAATTTTAACACTTAAAAACATACTTACCCATGGCATGCTTGAGAAAACTCAGTAACGGCTCCTCCCTCCATATCCACCACTTCCTCCACTGCCCCCAGGACCATAGTTTCCTGCAATTGCAGAACAAGAAAAAGAATGGCCCCATCAGTACACTTTTTAAATCTGGGAATGCTTTTGACTGAAGCAATCAATCAAAGCTTGACTGAATTTAGAGTAATATCTGCTTTACTGCCAGTGACTGCAGACAACAAAGGCTTCTAACGTTTCACTGTCCTCCTCTAAATAACCTCCAAGACATGCACAGGAGGCAACAMCATACTAAAATCCTGGAAGATTCAACATGTAATTTGATGCACTGTCTTGAGCCTGTGAGTGCTGACTTTGTTTGCATGCTAAACCTTACAAGAAAGGGCTTCATGTTTCAGTTTCCATTTCACAAACTTTATATATATAAAAAGTAACATTTAGACAACAAAAAGCAGGAAGAATCAAAAACAAATTACTCAAGAGAAGAAATCCCAGAAAACATGTTTGAGATTAAGTAACTAGATTCCCCACAAATACTGTGAGCTGACAACAAAGAACATGAAACCAAGCCTTTGAACTCAAAATTGCAAAATATTGTGGTTAAGTTAGTATATTGTATCTGTTTAAAAATCATAAAAATAGTTTTCCCTGAGACAAGATTTATAGTCTCAATATGAGAAACTGAAACCAACTTGCAAAAAGAACACAGGCACTGTACTCCATCTATTGCAAAAGTTATCCAATTTCTACATATCCATCTTGGAATSATATTGAAWGGCCTGGGTTGAAAAGGACCTTTCAAGGTCATGTAGTTCCAAAACCTCTGCAATGGATACCTTTCACTAGACCAGGATGATCAAAGACCYATCCAACCCTGCCGTGAACACTGCCACAGATGGGGCAATCACACCACCTCTGAGCAACCTGTTCCAGTGCCTCCCCACACTCACAGTATCTAATCCCTCTTTTTAGTTCTAAACAGTCACCCCATGTCTTCTGTTTTCCCAAGGATTAGAAGCCCATCCGCTCCTGGCTACAAGGAAAATCAGGATATATACAATACCTCCACCATATGGTCCCCCCATGTTCCTGCTGCCACCAAAATTTCCACTCTTCATCGGACCATAATTTGAAGGTTGTTGGTTGTAGTTTCCAAAATCATTATAGTTTCCACTTCCATAATTGCCTGTATTATCAACACACAAGCGGGAAAATACCTTGAGTTAAAATGAATACAACACTGAAAGTTATCTCATTCTAAGAATTTTAAATAAAGTATAAAATCACACGTGCACTTGAGCAGTGCRTGCAATGAACAATGTGTTCATTCTATTTCATACTACGTAAAAAACAACAGCTTTCCTAAGCAACATTTACAAAAACCCCTCCCCCAGTCTCTAATGATTTGCAGTAAATTATAACTGAAAAGCTTGGACGTTCTGAGCTTAAATATTACCTCCTCCATAGTTGTCATAACCACCTCCATAGCCCCCACCCTGGTTGCCATATCCAGGTCCTCCTCCACCATATCCTCCTCTTCCTCCTCCGTAACCAGGACTGCCACCAAAGTTGCCACCTGTGACAACATAATCCTTTTAAATGAACTTTTCAATGCAGAAGGCATTCATATAGAAACAAAGTGTATTTTCCTGTTTAGAAGACCAAGGGGGAAGAAAAAGGTGGCTTTGTAAAGAAATTGCTATAACAGCACTTTCAAAAGCACATACCAACTCCCACCCTAACTGAACTGTGACCAAACCCCACCACTCAGACTGCCTGAAGACCTCAACTGAAAGGCTTAATTAAAATCTTCATTTTTCAGGAAATTCAAGACACACTCCTATCCTAGAGAAAAGAAAAGAACCGTTGTCCAAAAATAGCCAYACAATTTTCATAGGGAAATTTAATACAAGCCAACGACCATGTATGCATGCTTCTTAAAGCCAACAAAATGGCTCAGGTAATTAATATATATTTTATACAAATGCTAAGTAACTATGCAAGTGTTTCTTAATGAGGGAACAATAAATGACCACTACAACAAAGAAACTAACCTCCAGGTCCTCCACCATATCCATTATATCCATCACCAAATCCACGGCCACTTCCATATCCATCTGTTAGGGAAAAAAAAAACCCGAAGAATTTCAATTTACCTGTAGCTAACTAGTTGAATTCTCAAAYCCTTATGACCTTAAGAATCACATCTCAGAAATTATCAATTAAACACATGTACAATTAACTTCAGAAAAAAAGAAGTGAAACAATCCTATCATCAYTACATTTTTTTCTTTTCTTGCATTTGCATGGTACCCAGTTTTAAAAGGTCCAGCAAATAATTAAGTTTCTTCTTCTCAGCAAATAATTAAGTTTAGGTTACTTTTAGCTTTCAATAATAGCTAAAAAAAAAAACCAAAACCCCCAAACCAAACGAACACACACACCAAAAAAATCCCCAACAAAAAACAAAAACACCCACACCCAAACAAAAAAAACCCCAACACCCACAACAAACAACCAAACAAACCCCAAAACACAGCTTCATTTGCAAATTACTTTTCCCAAAAATTCTCTCAACTGCTACAGCTGCATTTCAATTGAACATTGCTAGAGCTTACWAAGTTACCCAGAATGACAATATTATTACGGTAAAAAAGTAGAATTCTACAAACATGCCTGTCTTACCAGCTCCCCCTCTGAAATTGCTGCCAGGTCCTGGACCAAAGTTGCCACCACCTCCACGAGCATCACCAAAACCAAAGTTCCCTGTAACATTTATAATGAGTGAGATCATGGAAAGTGAACACAAAAACCAACCACAAACTATTAACCATTACTTGYACATACCTCCTCTCCCACTCCTAGAGTTTTGAACCTCCTGCATTTCCTGTCTAGAGAGAGCTTTCCTTACTTCTGCATTATGGCCATTGATGGTGTGGTATTTCTGCACTGTAACCACATGAAGTAAGAGGCTATCAGCATTTAACTGGCAACAAGTCAGAGTATCAGTCTTCCAATTCATACACATTCTCAATCATACAGAAGAACACAGAATACCACACGATCATTAAACAAATATGATAGTACTTATTTGAAATACATCTTCCCATACAATYCAGCAAAACTATGTTGCAAATACACAGGCACATAATTAATCCCATTATCTGTAAGTATAGCTTTATACAATCACCAAGGATGYAAGGATTAAGACTATCAAAGGAAAGGATGAAATGACTTACATACAATTTTATCCACAGGATCATGGTCATCAAATGTAACAAATCCAAACCCTCTCTTTTTACCAGACTGTCGGTCAGTAATTATTTCAATAGTGTCAATTTTTCCATATTCCTCAAAGTAGTCACGAAGGTGGTGCTCTTCAGTGTCCTCTTTAATACCACCAACAAATAGTTTTTTCACAGTAACATGAGCACCAGGTTTTCCAGATTCCTGTTAAAAGAAATCTTTTAATCAGCACCAAGAAAAACCATTTCACAAAGCACTATTTTGCCAGGATTTCAGGAACAGAATTCAGATAAACTAAAATTTTTCAAGCACTGAGGCACAGCCTCTCATGAGGTATGACTCTGCAAGCTTGTTTAGGGGGTCTTTGGGAGGCAAGTAACTCRGGGTTACATGGGAGGATTTTCTTTCCCCCCCCTTATTTCAAAGCCTTAAAAGCACTGAAAAAGATCGCTTGAAAGAACTGCAAGTATTTAATAATTTAGAGTATGATTTTTGTATTTGTTTAAACGAAGATGCGTCAGCTTCTTCTGCCAAATTCCCCAACAGCAGTGAACCCACATTCCACTTATAACAAGGTCCTTCCACCTCAGCAAATTCAAAATGATGCATTTTAACCCCTTTAATATGGTGCTGTAATTACCTTTTTGCAAATGCTAACCAACCCTGTATTCTGCAGAGAATGGAAAGAAAACTGGGATAGCTAACAGTGATTACAATTTCCATTTCTCCATACCCCTGGGACACGCTCACTCAATTCCAGTTCTTCAGTCCAAATGTATTAAAACATCTCAGTCCAACCTTTAACTGGCAAACCCTCCCAGAGCTCCTACATGGTTAACAGAACTTGCCCTATAATCCACACTCTATGCCACATAACCTGTTACAGAGGTTCACAGTGCTCCTGTACAGAGGTTCACAGTGCTCCTGCCACTTCAGGTTCACAGTGCTCCTGTACACACCCCCTAAATTTGTACCCTGAAACTGAAATTAAGTATGCCTGGGGCTAAAACCAGCACAGTACACAAATGGTTCTGTACATTGCCCCTAGGAAAAGTTTCCCTGCTACATTCTCAATTTTTATGTACCTTTYAGAAAGACCCCAAAAGATCTTGAAGTAGTCAGAAAAACTGACAGGAGAATTAATTTAGGAATTTGAGCCTTAGTAACAGGAAACATTCCAGAGAAGAGTTACTTTGGTATTTGCATAATTACAAACATTCAGCATGTTTTCTATAACACTATTTTCACACCTCAGATGTATCCCTGAAGACATGATTTCACAACCACAACAACTGAATATACACCATGTAATAACAAAACATAYAAGAGACTAAAAGTGTGGGTAATACTGCCCTAACTATGGGCTTTTAACTAGAGAATTTAAACTTAGGCAATTTCAAGCAAGAACAAAGCCTGTCTGACCAAAACAGGTATTTTCAAAGCATGACAAGCATCTGGCTTTCAAAGTCATACTTACCTCTCTAGCCACAGCTCTCTTAGGCTCAACCACCCTTCCATCAATTGTGTGAGGTCTTGCAGCCATAGCCGCATCAACTTCAGCCATGGAAGAGAATGTTACRAAACCGAACCCCCTTGATCTTTTGCTTGCAGGATCCCTCATTACCTAAAATAAACACATTTAAATCACTTTTACCTGTCTCATGTTAAGCTTTTTGCTAACAGTACCTGGAGAAAGTGTGTAAACTAAATTTACATTTTCCTTGATTATATTTCAAAACACAGTTATATTAAAGTAGCACACTCTGGTGATTTACTACGTGAATGGCAATGCTTGGCATAAAAGAAATTCAAACCACTGTTGCCCTTCAAGACTTAGTTAACTCAGAGTCTTAAGTTATGCTGCTAGATCAATGAGACGCTTTAAACTTTCGTTCACCTTCGAGAAAAATATCATTCACATAATTTAAGCTTCATGAAGACCACAGACTTTAAATCTGTGTTAGGAAATATGTATTTACTACTACCAGGACAAATWYAGCAGAGAAMTTCTACCAGTGTCACCATCTCTGTCGATATTTAAAAGACACACACAGACGTTGCGCTTACAGATAGAGTTTAGTGATGTATTTGTCGGTGCTGGGTTAACAGTTGATGACCTAAATGTTTGCTTCCAACCTAAATGACTCTATGAAAACGTCATAGAGAAAGACATCCCTTTTCAGCTTTACTGAGAATGCTTACTACAGTGACAGCTTTTTGCCAAATCTTACCAACCACACAGACATAATAGTGCTCTGTGGAAGGACTTCCTAATGCCACTTCAGCCAATGATATCAAAGTTGAACTGTTGAAATCAGTGGTTAGAGATAATCTGAGAGAACTTTAYAGGAAATAGATTGTGAATAATCCCTAACTCTATCAAGTTTGCAAGAGAAAAATGTATGCATTGTTACAATGGACAAAACTGTGTATAAACYAACCAACTGTATACAATTAAAATCTAATATTACATCTTCTCTAAACTRCCTAGAAAACAAACTCCACATTAAAAGTTCCAACATATTCCATGTTATTGCCATGTATTAGYATGCTAAACTTACCACACAGTCTGTAAGCTTTCCCCATTGCTCATAGTAACTCCTCAAGCTTTCTTCTGTGGTTTCAAAGCTCAAGCCACCAATAAACAGTTTGCGGAACTGCTCCTTTTCCCTCTGCCACAGAAAAAAAAATTACATTAATATAATTTAAAACACTTCTCCATCAGCAAATCAGACACTAACTAAGACTTTCCTTCATGTCAAAATTTCAGTAGACTTATTTTCAAAATGAGGCCTGGCTCTTCTAAATGTTCTACCCCTACTAAAGAAATTAAGCAATTTCACAGCTCCWCCTTTACAACACAGATTTTATTTCAGTCCTTCTTCCCTCTAGATATTTAGTTCAGTATCTCCCTCTAGGTATCAAGAACAAGGGACCACACTGGAAGACTTCCAGAATATTCCTCTCAAAGACCCATATGAAATACTTTTTAAAGAAGGGAAAAATGAGAACCTTGGGGCTTGCTTTTATTAGAGAAAATACAAATGCTACTATAACAATCATCCAAGGCATTAAAAATAAAAAAAAAATTAAACACATCTAAAGGTGTTCTAAAACAGGCAAACTATTAATATTTTCTCCATAATTACTGAAACAAATGAAATGCAAACATCTGTAAAATTAATCTGGGATCCCACACCATTGGAATTAATAACAATCCTATCCACCCTTAACAGGAGCAGTATTAAAATAACTCCGCTTAAAATAGAAATCTCAATAATACACATTTGTACCCACTAATAGAAATCATACTTTCAGTAAAACTTTATTTCCTTCCAGAGAAATTAACACTGCACTTATTCAGCAGAGATATCTTTTGCAATGACAACTGCAAACAAACCTCACAAAACAGGACCAGCAATAAGGTACTACATTTACTATTTTATAGTTAGTGGTAAACTAAAGCAGAAAGGRCAGTCTTCCAACCTCTGCCAGCTCAATACACTTTTATAGTACGTTTTTACACAAGGCAGGCATTTTAATGGCCATTCTCTACATGCAATAGTACCACTAGCTCATACATGTTGAAATCCGATACCATACAATTAAAAAATCCACTAAAAAGTAGACTCTTTTCAAAAACTTGTAATTTCAGAATGCTGCTTTGTAAAGCGGTGTCCTGCTAGGGACAAGAGAACTYAAACAAAATTGCTTCAGCTTTGTATGAACTTTTAAAATCAAGAACATCTGCTTGGGTGTTTGGTTGTTTRTTTTAGTATGGTGGTTGGTCTTTTTCTGTACCATTAGCTGTAACTGACAAACACACGATTAAGGGTGAAATGGGCATTAAGGTAAGTTTTAAAAGAAAACTAGAAAAACAATGAGACCAAGAAAACAAGCTGAATACTTAAGTACCCATATACTTTTAAAAGTATTACACAAATTTGCGTGCAGACCAACATGCTTTCGGAGGTTGTCCAAGGCAGGCCTGGATCTAGACGCATATAACAARAAGACAATTGCTGTATGCAGCAACAAACCAGTTCTTAAAGTAATTTCCTTTCAGCTCATTACATAAATGGAAAARACGAAAAGAATGCTGCATACCAGATCAGAACTAAAAAAAAAAATAGGTCATACTATCATTTATTAATTTTGAGTAAGCTGGCAAAGAAAAAAATTTAACCAACAATACTGCAAAAGAAACCTCCCTTCAGCTCTGCTGCTTGAAAATTAGCAACCATTGCTTACAGTTTCACAGGCCCACAAAAGACTTTTTCCTATATAATCAACTGCCATGCACTTAATAATGCGCATTATTATCAAAACACRAGAATCAAGAAAATTTAGTAGGCAGGTAGGATTTTTCCAGTAAGYGTTATGTTTACACCTGAAAACAGTTATAAACCTCCAAATGAAACTCAAGGAAAGAATAGAATCCACCAGTTGTAACAACGACAGAAATGTACTACATTAATAACAAACACTATAGAATAGAATAGTATTTCACTTTACAGATGTATTTAGGGTCATGCCCTACCCAGAAAAATATCTAGGCCACCACACACACATCAGGACACAGAAATAACGAAATTAATTACTAGCTCTTTAATTAAAACCACTGGGCGAAAACAGCATGAACATGCTGTTCCACTAATATACACAAAATCTAGATGCGGACAAGCTGTTTGTCTTAGATGCGTCAGTTTCAGGAAGCTCTGCTTAGCCTAACATTAACCTCCCACCAGAGTCCAGAGAGTTCTGCCCATCTGAAGTTTGAGCTGAAGATGTAAAATACACCACCTCATGCCAATACCTCTCAGAAACCTGAGGAAAAATCCTCTYTTGGTAAAGACACAGACACCTCATGCCTACGAAGACCCACAATATAAAAGCTGGAGGTAAAACCTCTTCTAAGATTTCCACAGTATACCCCATAACAGGAACAGGGCGTCAGAAGAAATCTTTACAACCTCCGCAGGATCTTCGTCCATGTGTATTTCAAGCTTTCCTTCACAGGCTTAAAGCAATTTGACAGGACTGAAAGACTCACAGCATTTACYGGAAAACTGATCACCAGAGCTAGAAAACGTGCTTGATATAGCAATAACGTGCGCACACACAATCCGCGCTGACTGCGGAATTAAGAATCCGGGTAATGAAAATGTTTGACAGAGACAAGCGAAGGGGATCCCTGAACTCCAGGGATCCGCAATCCCTGAGCAACTTGCTCGCCCGCCTCCTGTGAAGGCCGAGACGCATTGGCGGCGCCGGCTCCGCCATGTGGCRGCAGCAGGAACACCGCGGCCCCAAGCCGGGCGGGGAAAATGGCGCCCGGGAACAGCCGCCGCCTCCAGGGCCAGGCTGCAAACTGCTTCTAGTGTGCATCTACACATACAGTACCAAGAGTTTTCCGGCGCTCCTTCTCACCCCCGCGGATTCCAGACGGCCACAGCTGCCCCCCGGCCCTGCCCACTCTCCCCGAGCGATGTCCATTGCTCCTCGCTACCGCGAGTCTCGGCCAGGCCGCCATTTTACCCCTCCCCCTCGCCACCGCCATTACCCGCAGCGCCGCCTCGGCCGCTCCGCCGGGGCCAAGACAGTCCCCAGCCCGCGCATCGACCGACCCSCGGAGCTCCGCGTCCCCCTCCTCCTCCGACACCTCAGCAACAGCGCAAATAAAACCCACGGCGACGGGCTTAAGAACACGCTGTCCGCCATGCACGGTTACCGCAGCTTCCGCCGCCTCTCCCGGCTGCGCGCCAGCCCCAGCCACCGCTTCCAGAACCTTCCTCTGCGCTAAGACATCCAGCACACAGCCCACGGTGGACCCGCCAACGGCGCCCGGACTTGCGCGGACAACGACCTCAAGCTGGCTTGTAATTCCCAGCCCCGAAAAAATTCAGTCCGTCTGCACAAGCGAACGCGCCTCCCTCCTTAAAAGCAAACTCTAAATCCTCCCGTTCCACGTACCATGTTCTTCATGGTTTACGTATTCCTGCTTGAGTACCGTACAACCGGTCGGTAATGGCTGCCTGAGCTGTTACGTAATTTGAAATTCAGCTCCGCGTAGTGTTAGCGCCCTCCTTCTCCAGCGCGAGCTCGCTTCCGAGGATTTAGTTTAATCAATTAAAAAAAAAAAAAAAAAAAAAGGCAGGATCTGGAGCTTGAGTATCTCCAAAGGCGCTGCAGTTCTGTATAATGCCCCTACGTGTTTTTTATCGTGTAATGAAAAGTCATCGACTCCGTTAGTAATGGCCGTCTCCGAAATGAGCCGAAGGAGCCGTCGTCGTCGAGCTTATCCGCTTCGACAGCCCCGGAAAAAGCCGAACCAGGAATGGAAGCCCATTCGGCTCGCTTCGGTAATTTCCGGAACCTGCCGCAGCATGCGAAAATGGCGCAYGGCGCCAGCTCGGCAATTTCCGGACAGAAAGACGCAGCAAGTAATTGACTACCTCAGCCCGCTCGGCACTTTCCGACAACGGAAGAGGCTCGCGAGACGCAGCCGAAGCGGCCTCGAACGCTGCTGGCACCGTGTCACGTTTTTTTTTGTTTGTTTTTCCGGAAATTGACAAAAGGACCCTAAGGCTCAAACCTCGCGTTTTAATTAGTCGGGGGCAGCCGCCCATCAACCCCCCCACACCTGAGGTAGTGGCAGGGAGCGAGAGGGCGCACCGCAGCCCCGAAACCTCGCCCTGGCCCCTTTCCCCCTCCGCCCGAGCAGGAGGAAGTGAAAACTACACAGATTTTGGCAYCAGCGCGACACATCGCGGGGCCCCGGCGGAGGGAAGCGAACTTCGCCGCAGCCCGCTCCGCTCTACCCTCACCGCCGGCATCGGGCGCGCCCGCCCGYTCCGCCGCTCTGTTCTGTTCTCCTCCTCTCCTCATCCCCTCCCTCCCTCCTTTTTTCTCTCTCCGGCGGCCCTGCACGCACCGCGACAAAAGGTGAGTGCTGCCGCCCCGCGCGCCAGAGAAATGGCGCTAGAGCGGCTTTCTTCCCACCCCCTCTGCTCCCCCTCCCTTTCAGCTTCACCGCGGATCCACCCGCGAATCTTCGCCCGCAGCGAAGGCTCCCTAGCCGACTCCCCGACCCGTTTTCCCACTTATGAATGAGATTTCGGTCCCCAGAGCCCCGCTTCTTTCCAAGCCCGCCTTCCGAGTCAGTTTCTCGCCCCTCGCTCACGCCCGGGCCTTCCCACCGCAACGCGGGAAATGGCCGCGCTCCAAGGGGGGCGGGGGGGGGACCCTCCAAACGAGCTTCAAACCCACCGCGGCGCTCCTCGCCCGCCCTCCCCGCGCCCGGGGGCCGCCCTGCCGCACCGACCGAGGGCCTCGCTCCGCGGCGGCGGRTAGCATCGGCCCGGCACGCATTCGCGGCGGTGGCCATCATGGCGGCCGCGGCGCCCGGGGTCCGCGAACCCGCTCCGTTCCCCCCGGCTTACCCAGTCGCTTTCCCTGTCGCCGCGAGGCATCTTCCTTCTTTTGGACGCCTGGCGCGGTCCTGCGCTCGCCCCGCGTTGGAGAGACGTCTTGGCCCCCCTCCTGTGCCGGCGGCGACGACGGTCGGAGGTTGTAGCGGCTCGCGCGTAGGCGGCGGCGGCGTCGTGCGCTCTGCCCCGTCACAGCCGCCGGCGCGCAGTGCTCGCCCAGCCCAGCCCAGCCCCACCAGCCGCTGCCGCGCCGCTCCCCGCCCTCCGCCCCCCGCCCTCCCTCTCTCCCTCCCTGCCCCCACCCCCTGCCTCAGCCCCCCGCGGATGTCGCTGTTGCTGCCGCCGCCGCTCAGTGCGCGCAGGGCGGGAGCGAGGAGGAGACGGGAGAGAGCCAAGCGGCTGGGCACCATTGAAGTCTGTATCCTTCTCTCTCTCTCTCTCTCTCTCTCTTTCTCTCTCCCCCCCCTTCCTCCTCTCCCTCTCCCTCTTTTCTCTCGCTGTAGCCGCCTCCTTCCACCCCACTCACCCCCGAGTTCCCTTCCCTGACTCCCCTTTCCTCTGCGGCTCGCTGCGGGCCTCCGCGGGGATATGCGGAGCGCAGCCCGCCCGCCTCCCCCACCGCCGCTTCTTCCCCACCCCCGCTCCTGTGGCGGTGGGGGCTGGCGGGCGGAGCGGGGCTGCCGGAGGGTCGCGGCCTCGGCATCCGCACGGGGAGGGAGGGAGGGAGGGCGCCGAACCCGCGGGCGCTGTCGCCCCGGAGAAGGAGGGCAGCGCCGGGGGCGGGGGCAGCGGCACCCGCGCGGYAGACAAAGCCGGGCCGCCGGCGATCCCTGCGTGTGCCCGGCCTGGGGAGAACGTGGCGAGGCGGGGGCAGGACGGCGTGGAAGGGGCTCTGTCAGTGGCGGCGGGAGCTGTCGGCGTCCCCGTTGCCTCGCCCGGGGCGGCCCCGCCGGCCTCATGTGCGCCCGCAGGCCCGAGGCGCAGCCGCCCCCAGCGGGCCTCCGCAGCGCTGCCTCCGTTTTCTGGTGCGGGGTTTGTTATTGGTTCTGTTGGGGTTATTTTTCCCCCTTTCTGCCACCTTTCAAGCGGGGGGACATAAGGCAAGACCCTCTGCACAGGCGCCCTGGCCCCGGCCCTTCTCCCACCTCGCCTACCCCACTGCCCGTGGCACTGCCAAAATCCACCTCCCGAGTCAGGGGAGGATTGGGCGGGATTGTTGAGTCCGGCAGGCTTTCTGGCCTTAAAGGACTTTTCTGCCTTATCCAGGCGTATGGGGGATTCTAACAGTTCTATAGCTCGCTGCGGGGCGGGGACAATACATGCCTATGGAGCTGATCGGTATGAGAAATGACGTGAAAAGGGGATGGATTGTGTTTAACGTAATTTGCTAGGTTAAAAATGTAGTATGTACATCTTAGCTGAGTTAATATTGCTTTAGGTCTTTAACTCTTGCATACTTGAGAATCAGAAGGCAACGTTATAGTTGCATTAATATAAATATTTGCTGTTTATAAGAATTTGCTACTATATAAGAATAATGGGTGATTCATTACACTACAGATGTGTATCTGTTCCCTGTCAGATTTGCAGTTAATATACCTTAGGTATATCTCCAACTGCTAGAATCTGAGCTCCTGTTCTGTTTGGTTTAAGGAAATAAGCATCCCTGATGGTCCTCCCCCTTTTCCCTAGAAAYGTGTATGCTTTTGAAGGCCTTGGGAAAAACCTTTTTTCAGCCCTATGTACCACCTTGTCAGTATTGTTTATCCTGGCTAGCCTAACAGTGCATTACTGGGTTATGCCAGACAAAGTAGTAACCTACTTTTTGTTCTGGATTTAATCCATATAAGAAATGGTGTACGCAATGAGTACATGGGGGTTGGAACAAGGACCATGCTTGTCTTGGGATGCCTTTCTTTGAGTAATGCAAACTTCCTTTTAATTGTCATGCATTTTTCTAGTAAAAGCTCTGCAAGTCTGCAATAAAAATGGCCTCCAATAAAACTACATTGGTAAGTTCATGCACACCTAAAGTATATAAGGATTTAATCAACATATTTTTCTTCAAACTTATAACTTGGCATCTCCATTTAAAAGATACATCCACATCTCCCCTCCCCAGCATTATTCTGACCAAAATTTCAGATCCAGAAAGTAAGGCTATTAGAAAGGACATTGTCTTTGGTTTTAATAAATCTGCCATTTCTAAAGAGAAACTTGTTGGAAAAAAAGTGTAAAAGGACTCGGCAGTTTTTCATCTGTCCCACTAAGGATAATAGAAAACACTAAGGATTTTTTTAGCCTCCTTTCAGCATACCATGTAATTCATCATACATGTAAAAAATAAAGTCCAAATCATGTATTCATTTAATTTCTCCCAGTGTATTTGGAGAAAACTATGTGCCTGGCAAAAGGCAGTCTTTACAGATGAAAAGTAACATTGAGAAATTATGTGGCATAGTTAAGATGCCTTTTGAAATGATTTTTAACAAATAACAGTTTCTTTGAATTTCATAGGAGCAGAGATTATCAGATGTCAACCCCTCCTGGACCATTTTAATGATGCATTCATGGATCTCAAGTCCTCTAAAGCTTTGCTTGACATTAAAATATGGACTCCTAAGAGCAGTTGGTTGCTGGTTACAATTCAACTAATAAGGATACATAGTTTAATGGAAGACAGAACTGTAAAATTTTAATGTGTGATACATCTGAGGTTGAGATGGGAAAGTGATAAAAAATATATGTGCACAATTCAAAACTTCAATTGAAGAACAACTGGTTTATAATACACGCAAAAGGCCTGTTCTTAAATTTACAAAAATGATTATTAGTTCACTCAGCTCAAAATATATTAAAAACTTGTATTAATTCCTAGCTTAGAACTGCAATGAAGTGCTTCCTCTGTGTTGTACTGTTCTAAAATCTCTCACTCAGGTGAATGTCTGAACTTTCTGTTAGTAATTGATTGTCCACTTGTCCCTTATTTGGAGAAGGAGTTAGCCAGTCTGGGGAGGGGGTGCCTTGGAGAGAGGAAAAATAAAATCTATGAATGCCATATTTTTAATCTTTTGATATTGTTGAGAATTTTACTGCACAGGTCAGAAAAATCAGTTATGGTTCCCATGGGAACTATAACTAATTCTGCTTYATTATGTATTTGCATGCAAAACCTAAATGTGTTAAGAGATAGGGTRGAGAGGGTAGCTCTAGAGCTGTAATTCCTATTTTCTTACCTCTTGTATGTAAAATTCTACACCACACTGTCACATCAGTGTTTTAACCTTGCCCCTGAAAGAAAGAGTGATTATCCATAGACCTGCATCTGGCATATGTGACTTCTGAATGCAGAAAGAGAAACGAGTTATAGGTGAGCCTTCAATGGTCAAATGCCCAAGTTACAGCTTACAACATGCAACCCTAGAGAGGGAGCTTCAGGGTCAAGTGGACATTWATCTTCAGTCAGTTGTCACAGTTCACTTGTGGGCTGAGATTTGCATGGACATGTATAATCTCAGAATGTACAGGTTTTTAACATGTTCAGTATTTCTGCAGGCTCTGCAATCAAGTATTTTAATAGGCTCAAGAGTTTGAAGAGCAGTGCTGATGCATGAGACCTAATTAAAACTAGTATTTAAAACAGAAGCCGCATACTCGTGAAAGAAAGAAAAAAATACAGACCCCCATGACATTGATTTTCCTCTGTGGAAGATACTTAAGTTACTTAAGTCTTAGAAAGTAAAAAAACAAATTGTTGCTTTGATACAGAAATCCAAAACATTGATCTTTAAGTGACAAGAATTAGTGAAGCCGAAAAGAGTACCAGAAAGCAGTCTTCCATTGAATCAAAGAATTTTAGTCCAACGGAGAATACAGATGGAGATGTTCCCCACTTGTAGCCTGCTTGCCTCATCACCAGTAATTATAATGTTATTACTATGGTATAGTGAGTCTGTCTTTTTCTGTGTTGTTGTTTTCCCCTCTGCTACTTTTACTGTTTATTTTCCTCATATCTACCCCTTTCTATTTCACACTTCCATTTTTTGAAAGAAGCTGCCTTCATAGAAGCCTTGGACATCTTCATGTTGTATTTCCCTTCAATATCAGTCTGGCATTTTTCTTGTGGAGGCAAAAAAAGACAACATGCTTAAATTTACAGTTTTCAGACATGAATGCTGTGGTCAAAATACACCTGGGATATTCAGGCAGTTAAAATCTCATTTGAAATACATGCTCTGTTCTCTCTCCTGTGTTCTCAAATCAAAATGATTGCCATGTGAGATATATACAGAAACTTGCTGTTTAAATGAGAAATTAGAAACTTCTTCTCCTCTTTGTTGATTAAAACTTCAATTTATGGGTTGTTAACCCGAGTAAAGTATTCTGGGGAGGGAGGGAAGAATTAATTATAAGAATTAAGGGGTGCAAAGACAGGGCTTTGGCAAGAGACTCATCTTCAAGTCTTCAGTTTACAAAAAGAAGACAGTTTTTGTTCTAACATACTTTTTTTTTCCCTTTCACCACATCAAGACAATATCTAGACATAATTCTAAGTCTAAAATATTGCAAATTTCAAAATTGCAGTATTCTCAAACTAACCCGCATTAGACAGGACTAGAGAATGGCTATCAAGCAAGTAGAGGTGCTTCGTGATATTTGTTTGTTTTCCGTCATACAGGAAGCGCTTTAGTGAGGAATTAGTTCTGTCTGCTTTGATTTAGGGTGCTACTGACACCATGTTTTAGGAGCTTAATACTTAGTKTATAGCTGCCACTTAACAATTTCCTTATGAGGTGCAGTCCAAAATGGCAAGCAAACTGCTTTTGGTCTGCCAGTCCTCCAGAAATGTGATACAATATGGTAGGCTTGTTCCAACCTTTTTGAGATTGCAAACAAGGAAATTCTGAAATGTGTCCTTCTACTACTATTTAATTGTGCCTTATTAAACTGGGAATGCTTTGAGGATGATGTGGATGTAATATTTGTTTTAAGAATATTACTTGAAGTATCAAATGTAAACTTATAACCCTTAAAAAGTTTTTTAAGTTAGCAAAATTCTCTTCTTGTGTTCAGCGCTGTACTTAAGTGTAGCAGTCTTAAATTTATGCACCTTTGTGACGTATCTTTATAAGTTACTTGGGTGCATGGCTAAGAATGAGAAGGGACTGCAGTAATGGAATGCTTCTAGCATGTGTCCTGTTCAATAGTTGCAGGTTATTGTTGAGTGTTTTGCTTATTGTAGCAATACATCATGCCATAAGTTTCTCCTTGGTTTTTTTTGGAAAAGGTAGAAACCACCATTTTTTCAGTACCATCCCTTTTCTATTCTATGCATTTTCACAGTTCCCTTATTACTTTTCTTTACTTTTGCCTCGCCCTCTGCCTTTTCACAGGCATAGAGTTAACTTTTAGAAGCTTTCYGATTTTTTGAGCATGTAGCACTGAGAATTAAATTTTTAAGGGGAGTATAGTATGTGGACAAAGAGAATTTTATCTTTTTARAAACTGGTGTTGGGTATCTTCTTAAAGAACTGAAAAAAACCCAAAACATTAACATATCTTGCTCAGGTTACCTGACCACATGCACTAACGTAAAAGGAGTCTGAGTTTCTGGCTTTAGTATGAATAAGCCAGTGAAGTAACTGTATAAAGAAAAAGAAAAAAAAAAAAAGAATAATGTCATTCTGTATTTCTTTTGTAGCACAAAATGGGAAAGAAACAGAATGGCAAAGGTAAAAAAGTTGAAGAGGCAGAGCCAGAAGAATTTGTTGTGGAGAAAGTCCTGGACAGACGTGTTGTAAATGGAAAGGTGGAATACTACTTGAAGTGGAAAGGATTTACAGAGTAAGGCATTACCTTTTTTTGTAATTTTTATTTTTCTGATAGAATTGATTTGAAATAACTGTGCAAAGATGAGACTGGATGATAAGCATTCACTTAAAAAAACCTTGACGGATGGACATCCATAAGTGCATAGTCAACTGGGACGAGTATGAAAATGAAATACAAGATGTTGTAGCTCATTATTTGTGCTATGTAAAATATTGGAGGACTTAAACCAAGTCTTTAGTAGTTGTTCTTTTACCACTCTGATAGAGCTTGTGTCCATATCTATCAAGGTRAGATAGACTGACACCCTGTATGTAACAGAATGAATGTTACTTCTSAGTAAGAAATCATGCAGGGATTTAAACTACAGGCAGCTCTGAAGCAAGTCGTTTGCTTGCTGTTAATTTTCCTGAACTGTTTTCAAATTAGCTGAATTTGTCTGTGGAATGGTTTCCTTCATTAGGCATACTTGAAAGGAATTTATGAATATCTTTTCCAGGACTTATATATGTACATGAAAACTTTACAGTAGTCTTAAGAAGTTGATTGTTTTATAAGGAGTGCAGTTGTGCCCCCTTTCAGTGACACTGTAGCAGCTTGCTTTACCAGCTGAAGGAAGGCGATGCACCTARAATTTGTGCATAAATGGTTATGTATGCAGTGATATTATTGTTGCATACCTCCCAAAGTGAGTGCATGACAACATTGTGCACTTTGCCACCTGAAATGTGTGTAGCCATACATGCATAAATGTAAAGCACAATATGTTTAGTATTTGAGGGCCTCATTTGAACTTGTAATAGTATTTTAYTGGAATGGAAATAATTTGTGGGTATCCTGCATGTGCAGTAGTGTTSTGGCAGAATTTGAGCATGAGGTTCTTAGTGGCTGTGAGGACCATTCGTGGACTTCTTAAAATTCTAGTTAACAAAATGCATACTCACTGAAACATGCAGTGCCCAGCTCTGCCCACCTGTTCCCTCCTGCAGCCAGTCAATCGAAGGAAGTAGCTGGTTCTAGGTATAGTTGCGTTCAATGCTCAGAGACAGCTTTAGAGTGTTCTTCATATCTGAAAGCTTAAATATATATGTGTATATTGATTTGTGTGTGTATGTGTGCACATGGCTATTTGTTATGACTCTATATGCTGTTCTCTCTAAGTCTTAGTGCTCACATCATGTGRTTTATTTTCATGGACAGTCTTTAGCGAAACCAGGGAAGTGGGTCAGTTTTAAATGGACAAGGAAGTTCTGGTAGGGTTAGGATTGCTTATTTTAACTCTCATACCCTTCTGAGAACATAGGTGTTAATAGAGCAGCTTTTTGTGTTATCTTCAATTTAAGAACATAGTTTTTCAAAACTAGCAGAGCGTCCTTCTTTCAACCATCAAATGTAGTACCTGAAGGCTACTAAAGATGACAAGATAAACATCTTTGGTGTTTAAAAAACCTATCTTATATAGTGAGACAAAAATGAACTTCCCTAAATTAAGGGGAGCCATGGAGCTAGGTTTACATTTTTCTTCTTTTCCTAGTTTTATATAAATGTGTGTGTGTTTCAGTGCTGACAACACATGGGAACCTGAAGAGAACTTAGATTGTCCAGAGCTGATTGAAGCTTTTCTGAACTCTCAGAAAGCTGGTAAAGAAAAAACAGATGGTGCCAAAAGAAAATCTTTGTCAGATAGCGAATCTGATGATAGTAAATCAAAGAAAAAGCGTGATTCCGTAAGTATATGTTCACGTTAAGCTTTTGTTTCCTTGCATCTCTTCCCTACCTCTCCACCCCCCAAAAATCAGATTGTGAYTTTGAGAATGAGACTGAATACTGATTTAAAGCTGTAAAAATTGCATAGAAGTTGGATCTGTGGTTTGAAAATGGTATATATTCATTGTGGCTAATGAGACTGTCCAAATGGTGGGTAAAGGATGATTGGCTGACATAATGATTAGAAGTGATCTTACATCTTACATTGTCCCCAGCACAGTCCAAACCACGACATTTTTGGTGCCGTGACTCGGATTGGGAAAAATCAGGTTTAAACCCACGACACACTGAATAATTGAAAGTAAGACTGGTTAAGTTATTAATTAATGGTATTAATGATCRGTATATATTAGAGCAAAAGGTCCATGAATGGAACAAAGATGAAGTTCTGGTTTGGCTTTCATATTTAGCATATGATTTTGAATAAGCGAGTGGCAAGAGGGCAAAATGCGAAGACCAGTCAGTTACTTAGATTAGGACCAGACATGATGATGGAGAAGGAGCAGAAAGGCTGAGTGAAGAAAGTATACCTTTCCCAAGAGGTCTGGATTTCTCCTTCAGTTTAAACGAGTGAAAAACTTGACACATTTAGTGCTGATAAGTAGGGAATAATGCACATGTAGCAACAAGTTCAATAGTTCACGTTTTACTCCATAAACTTTCAGAGTAGCAGTTTGAAACTGCTGACGTTGCCGACCATTTTCATGTACTGAGGACAGCAGCTGTACATGTGGTTACTTTTAAGAAGKTTGGAAGGCATCAGAAAGAACAGTTCATGAATAATACAAAGAGTATTTTGCTTTCTGTATAGAGTCAGTTTTCATCTTCATCTGTTACAATAGTGGCTGCTGTCTCTAAAAGGATACTGTGAAGCTATAAAGTAGCTAATACAGGAAATAGTTGTGATATTTTTTGTCACTAGCATGATCTCAGTGAGCCAAGAAGAATTGAGGTGTTCCCCAAGGGTGCAGTTTTGTTGTTGGCTTAGCCAGCCCGAGTCTGTTGTTTTGCTGAAAAGGATGTTTTTTCCACTTCCAGGCATGCACATTTATTTTGCTGCTTTTGTTATTTTTACTGACCATGCTTGTTTGTTTATCTACTAAAATTATTTTAGACCATTTGTTTCATCTATCATGTTTTCAAAAAAAAATGCTGGAAACATGGATATAAAATCCTTTATAATTACCCTACATCTAAGTTACTTGGCCTGAAGATTGTGAAAAAATCCATGCCATATTCAGACAATAATATGTAATTATAGATTTGATGGGTTTTTTAAGGCTACATTTTTTCATTCTGATACACACACACACACACACACACACACATATACACATGCATTTACATATATGTACAAAAAATTGTGTATCTAGTACCAAAATAGAATTTTGCCTAAACTAGGTAACCATCTTCTAACTTAATAGGTTGACAAACCAAGAGGGTTTGCAAGGGGTCTTGATCCTGAGAGGATAATTGGGGCTACGGATAGCAGTGGAGAGCTTATGTTCCTCATGAAGTGGTAAGTCTGATATCCACAGTTCTTGTCCATGAAGGGAGGGCAGGCACCTACACTTAGGCTAAAGAGACAATGTCATTTCAGGAGTAAGACCACACAGAGGCTGGTGGTCTCCTTATTAACGTTATATTATAAGAAAAACAAGCCTTCTATAATAACTTAGTACTTAACGCCTCCTCCTTCAAAATCCCAAACATGTTTCATTTCTGTTGGTGCGGTTTTACAGAAGTAGAAATTTGAAAGRTAATTTATGATAAAATAGGGGGAASTTGGCATTTGTATGGAAAAACTGGATCTTGGTAATTCTCTTGCTGAGGGAATGGCAGTCAGAAATCTAGCTTTACATGTTTCAATAAGCAGAAGGCAGCTGCAGGATAGCCAGCCGTTTAACCAACCATAGTGCCGGCTGTTCTGCATGCAACAAAGTGGAATGGGAAGCAACTAGGGGAGAAAGCAGAGGTGGAGATAAATAAACAACATGGAGAGGCTTGACATTATGAGCTAGTGATGGGAGAGTGATGTAGGGAATTTATGTTGTTGGGAGGATAGGTGGGGACCAGCTTCTTTAGCTACAGTGTTGGGTGAAGGATTTCTTGCCTTGTGAACAAATTGAGTAAATTAGTGCTTCTTCCAAGTTTTGAAAAATCGAGATATTGAATTGACTTTTCTGGGGTTCAAATGTCTTATTTTAAGTCTTTGAAGTTTTGAATAGTCTTTAAAAGGCAAAATAAACCAAGTTTTACTTCTTTCATTACATACTGCAGTATTTAACCTTATAACTGGTTCCCTTTGAATAGCATTTTCCTTTCAAACAGAAAAAAACATGAGAAGGSAAGAACAATGGAGCTTTAATACCTCATCATTATCATTAGCAAGCAAAGTCTTAGTAGCTTYAGTGAAAGGTATACTGGAAACTGATTTCTAGTTGATATTCTTTTCAGAACTTAGGACTTACCAAGAACTGCTAAATGTTTTGAAATAATGAGTATTCATTTTTTTAAATCCCACTCTCTATTACATCAGGAAAGACTCTGATGAGGCAGATCTGGTGCTGGCCAAAGAAGCTAATGTGAAGTGTCCTCAGATCGTAATCGCTTTTTATGAAGAACGGCTAACTTGGCATTCATGCCCAGAAGATGAAGCACAATAATTGTTTGCATTGCTTTTTTTATATATAAAAATATTAAAACCCAAAATTTGTTTTAATAGCAATGTGAGAAGCATACATTCTAACGAGTTTTAAATTTGATATTTTTTTGAAGTAGTATGTTTTGCATCAGCAGCAAGTAAATAAAAGCTTTCTGCWACTTGTTTCATTTATCACAAGAGAGCATTTGATACTACTACTTCCTCCATATTAGCTAAAAGCTTTTATAAAACATTGATGAGCTTCCATAGTTATTACAGAATCATAATGAATGTCTAAACAAACTCACAGATGTTTTGTAGTCTTCTATACTATTGATGTGCATGTATCTTCTTTACCCAAACCTAGCCCTTTAAACCTGTAGGGTCATTCTTTTTAGTATTTGGAATCACTTGGTCTTAAAAAGACCAGGTGAAAACTAACTTTGTAGTAATTTGAATGTTATCAGACTGTATATTGTTTACTTTATTGTAAATACTGGTGAACAGTGGTCAATAAAATAGTTTTATATTCTTCCTTTATACTGATAGGCTGTGACTCTTTTGAACCGGGGTATTTCTCAACTTTTGATATGTTAAACTCAATTTGTAATATATTTAACTGTAAGTTGTTTTTTTGGGTGGGTAGGTTGATTATTAATATTACCCCACTGCTACTCTTATCACAATACCCAACAAGTACCMGGCTTTGATTATTGGTTGGGATTTTTTGTGAGTACTGCCTGAGGCACAAGGGTTTTCTTCAGTCAAGAAGGGCCTGTAAAATGAATGTGCTTTGGGTACTCATGTAAGTCACAAGTGGCAACCACACAGCTTAGGTATAGCAGTTGATCACRAGGCCAAATGGCCTCTGTGGGCACACCTGGAAGTATTTGACATGTGTTGACAGTATTATATTCAGGTTTTAATAAGAGGCTGTAGTGTACTTAGGGCTGGTTCAGATGGAATTATTGTTCAGGCCATCACCTGAAGAATACTTACATAGCTCAGCCTTTAAAGTGGAATATTTAAATGAAGACACTTAAGTCATATACTTGGAGCAAAATACTTTATTTCAAATTGAATTTTAAAATTAGTCCTATAATCAGCTCCTTGGAGAATGCTTTCAGAAGGGCAGAAGTAAAGAGTGGGGAACTCAGGAAGAATAAAGTTGCCATTCATCTACTTTTATTTGTGTTTTGACTACCATCGTATAGTTTTGCCTCAAGCTATGCTTATATGTCAATCACCAAGATTATTTCAGAATTATCCCTAATTTAGAGTTTTGACTAAAAAACATAATCCTGTGTTACATTGTCAGTGTCAATAGAATCAGAATGGTTTGGGTTGAAAGGGACCTTAAATATAATTTAGTTCCAACCTGCCTGGTATGGGGAGGGACACCTTTTACAAGAACAGRTTGCTCAGAGCTCCATCCAGCCTGGCCTTGAACGCTTCCAGGAATGGSTTGTCACCAACTTCTCTGAGMAACCTGTTCCARTGCCTCACCACCCTTGGAGTAAAAAATTTCTTCCCATCTAACCCTTCTCGCATTTTGAAGCCATTTCACCTTCTCCTGCCACTACATGCCTTTGTAATCCCTCTCCAGCCTTGTTAGGGCCTGGAAGGTGCTCTAAGATCTCACTGGAGCCTTCTCTTCAGGCTTAACATTCCCAACTCTCTCAGCCTGTCTTCACAARGGAGATGTTACAGTCCTCTGATCATCTTTGTGGCCCTTCYCAAAGGTGAGACAGTTGGGATTGCTCAGGTATGTTTCTTTAGAAAAAGTTGAATATTCGTGGAAGCCCTCATATGGTGTGCATAGCCTGAGCTGTGAAGGAAGGAATGAATTCCGTCTCTGCTTGATGTTCTTATGATTCTGTTTCACAAATCATTGCTATCATTATTTATCCTTTCAATAGCTTCAAAAGCCATTTATATTGTGAAGCAAAATCTGTTACCTTAGAACACCTACRTAAACAGCAGTGGCTAAACTTGCTATGTGAACTTTTTCCTAAAGATTTTTTGGGCAGAAAAAAGATAACAGTATCTATTAGTGGCTCCAGGAAAAATCTGGAGCCACTAAATCCCTGTTAACATGGGGCTCCCTGGCACCAGATAATGATAATTTCAGCACATAACTAACCTCTCTTGTCTGTTCCTCAGAAAAATCACCCCAACCTTGTCACATGTGTAAGCCTTCTACAGAGTTCATGGCCTAATTTTTGGGAGACCTATTATAGAAATATTTATAAACCTAGTCTATAGGATTCTGAAATCCTTGCCTTTTTATCCAGTAGCTTGAGAAACACATGGGCTAAAGAATTCCAAAGCAGCTTGTGTTCTCCTGCCAGTTTCTTCAGTATGGAGTGCTTTGTAAAGAGTCTTAAAAATGTTACTGTACAAGGTGCATTTTACTGSCTGAAACTTTGCAGTTTCTGTAACTCAGTTCAAATGTGGATATCAAGTCTGTGTGAAGTTGCTGATTAGAAGTGATACAGGTTAAACAGTTGTTTTTAATTACTGGTTATTGTATGTAGTAGACAGGTTTTTGTTGAAAGGTTGATTCTCAATTTGTAACCCTTAAAATACAGATTTGTAACTAGATACAGCTTTTTACATTATGTTTGGTTCTTCTGACTTAATAAAAACACTGTATTCACTTTTAAACAACTGCAGCTTGTTAGACAGTTACTTAGATTGCTGTTTTTTTTATATTATGATGGTAGATATGCTGACTGGTATTTGTTTCCTTTTTTTTTCTCACTTTGTGTGAATTGCATTTTGCTAGTAATCAAATGCAACACTTTAAAATTACAAATTATGTAAAGTTATGCTAAATGTGCTACATACATAGGCAAAAAGTCAACAAATGTTATTAATTTAAAATTAACTGATTCAATAAATGAGATATCTTSTATAGTTAGTGAGTTGTACGAAGGTTTCTCGTCATTGTCTCCTTTTTTATACCAAACCAAATTGGTTTCAAGCTGTCATTTTGTGATTGCTCTGTGCTAATGCTGCTCTTCCAAAAAAAAACCAAAAAACAAAAAAAAACAAAAAAAAAAACCAATACAAATCACAAAAAACCCAGTTGTGCTTGCTCCAGTGCTTCTCACTCTGGCTAAAGAAAATACTCAGGTTAAATGTAACCGTAATATTAGGTTATGTAAAATAGAAATCATGACCAGTTATGACATCATCCTCTTATAGCTTGGTTCCTACTTATTTGCTAGGAAAGAATAAACTCCAGGTTTGKTAATTAGTATTGTATTAATTGCAAATTAATCAAAGAGCAATTGCTGTTAAATGTAATAAAACAAATACGGTACCTGCAAAAAACTTAGCTTTGCAACTCATTTTTATCAGTTCAGCACAAATGGMTTCTACAAGCTTTGTAGTAATTCTAGATTGATGGTGCAGTTCTCCTTAAAATTGGTTGACAGTTTCTTAGCAATATATTGTCATAGCTTGAAATTTAAGTAGAAGTACATTTTTTCTTTAAATTCAAATTATCTTACCTGCTTACCTGAATTAGGCTCTTGCAGTATAAAAGATTGTACTTCTTTCCTATTCTAWGAGTTTTCTCCAACATTCTCAGCATTTTCCTTGCCATTGGTGTCCTGCTCTTTTTGTTTAATGTCTTCTCAAAATGCCACCTTTCATTCAACTATTAAATTTACCTGCTTATGTTAAGACATATCTACACTGCTGACAGAGGCCTCTAAACATGGTCTAGTGGCCAAGTCAGATGCCCCCATATTTTTTTCTGAGGTGCCCCTCATAAAATGACAAGTTGCTGCACAGACCTACTGCACAGACCTACTGCACCTTAGAAGCTGAAGTGCAATTGCACGGAAATAGGGCTGTGTGATTCCCAACACAAAATGTCACAGGGTAAAAGAGAACTATGTTTTTCCCTCTAGGTTTATAAGGCTGTGTCTCTACTAGCTCGAGTTGTGGTTTGCTTTGCAGAGTGAATATCCCAAGTAACTCTTGGGGGACTTATCTCACTTGGATGTATGCTYTCACAGGCAGTTTCCACCTGACAGTGTTTTCCTGTTCTCCCAGACTTTAGTTGTGACAGCACTTGAGAGGGCATGCAGCAGTAAAGGTAAAAGGATTTGGTAGTGCCTTCATTTCAGCAGCACCAGGAAAGAGTTGCAGAAGCTTTGTGCTTCATTCCTGCTTCCTCTYGTTGGGACAATCCCATCCATCAGTTTTGGTAACACCACATCTTGTTTGAAGTTTAAATGGAAAACTTCCACATCCCAAAATCCCTTTCAGGGACTCMTATGAAAGCATTTTGGGCTTTTGTTTCAAATAGATGATTCAAGATAAAAACAATAATCAATTTTGCCAAGAAAAATTGAAACACTTCTCCCAGTGAAAGAGCCTGCAATTGTTGSAGCCCAATGCAAATAGAAATGGTGCTTTTCCTCCTTGGAAACTGGCATTTATTAACTTGGTGAGAGAATTGGATGTGATTCCCAGGGCTCCAGATGGCACCTGCCAGATGGAAGCTCATATTCTTATTGTCTAAAGATGCTGTCACTGATGGCATTGTGTTTGAAAAACTGATGGCATTGTGTTTGAAAATGCAATAACCTTTTGTGATGGATTTTCTTACTAGATAAAGTAAGTGGTCAAGTACTTCCATGCATTGCAGTGTCTGTAAAATTATTTTAATCTGGTGAAAAGGTCAGCCTTCTAGGGATGGGATGGCAGAGTTTGGTTTGTTTCCTTGGTTGAATGTACAAATCCCTCAGATTTGCTTAGACCAGAGGAGGTATCATTGRCTTCTAATTATGATTCTTCCTTCCCAGAAATGTTACCCAGATGCACTGCTCTGCACMGAGGTCCAATTTGAAATAGGTATGTAGTTTTGCTCCAAAATCTGTGTTGAAAAGCTCTGGGCCTTGTTGCCTGAGTTTCTATAAGCAGGGTCAACAATTAGGARGTTCTGTCTTTATAAAGAAAAGTAATGYTAAAGAAACTWAGAATCAAAGAATCATTTAKGTTGGAAAAGACCTTTAAGGTCATTGAGTCCAACKATCAACCCACCACTGCCAAGTTCATTGATAAACCATGTCCCTAAGTGTCACATATACATGTCTTAAATATCCCTAGGGATGGTGAATCTACTACTTCCCGTGAGCAGCCTGTTCTAATGGTTGACAAGTCTTTTGAGAAAAAAAAATAATATCCAATCTAAACTTCCATCAACTTGCAACTCGAGGTGCAACTTGAGGCGATTTCTTCAGGCCATTTCTTCTTGTCCTGTCACTTGTTTGGGAAAAGAGACTGACCTCAACCTAGCTACAACCTCCTTTCAGGCAGTTATAGAGAGTGGTACCATCCCCTCCAAGCTTCCTCTTCTCCAGGTTAAGTAACCCCAGCTCTCTCAGACACTCCACATGGAACTTGTGTTCCTGACCCTTCTCTGTTGCCCTTCTCTGGTCACACTCCAGCACTTCAATGTCTTTGTTGAACTGAGGGGACCAAAACTGACACAGATTTGTGGCCTTCTCAGTGCCCATTAC